ACAACGGTGAGAGCAAGGGGGGGCTGAGAGCACGGCTCTGTGTCCCACCCCACCTGGCTGCTGTTCCTCCTGTCTCCTGCCCTGCTCTCCCCAGGCCCTGTCCCCACCATTTTGTCTGCACGGCAGCTGTGAATGGGCCCACCTGTGCCAGAGTTTCATTCTGAGCCCTTGCTGCTTCCCTCTGTGCACTACGTGGGAGGCAGAGGAGTGGTGTGACGAGGCCAGAGGCGGCTCTCAGGGCTGTGTCACGTCCTCCCTGCTCCCCCTGCAAACTGACATTGACCTTTCTGTCTTCCTTGAGTGCAGTGTAGGTGCAGTGCTGGGCAGGAGCCCTGCGGCCTACAGACAAGCAGTGCTTCAGCCCTTAGTTGAACCAGGCACAAGTCCTGCACTCGCATGTTGTTCAGTGGAAGCTCTTCCAAATCCATGGCTGTGGTTCAGTGCGATCACAGCTGGGCTTGCACTGCTGTGTGAGGGCAGTGGGGAGATGGTGTGGGGAAACAGGGACCAGGCTGCCCTGTGCAGCACAGGCTGTAACTGCTCTCCTTGTCTCTGTCCCCAGTGGAAGGACACGACTCCAGCGAGGACGCCAGGGCTTGCATGGAGCTGATGATCTGGAAGATCAAAGAAGACTCGAAAGTGAAACGATGACCTGCGCTTTCTCTCCCTCCTGTTCCTCCTCCACCTCTTTGAAGCAGTGCAATAAATGCTCAGAGTAACACTGTCCACCCGTACGCAGCAGCATGCTACCCCAGGCTCCCCGTGCACTTGCAGGTATCTCATGGGCTGCTGGTGGTGCAGCTGAGGGCACCAGCTGGCTGCCTGCAGGTCCCTGTGTCCACATAGCAGCTCTCGGACCCTCTTTTCTCTGCCTGAGGGGTACTCTGTGCTCCAGCAGTTGCCCCGTAGGCATGGCAAGGTGGTTCTGAGCAGCACAGCTAGAGGGAACTCCGTGGTTCCTCGAGAAGCTCGTAGAGGTAGGTTGGATACGTGCAGAAGGATCTTTCTGGTTCAGTTCAAGGTAGATGTTACTGTTATTTTTTTCCCAAACGTAACTTAAATTGCTTTTCTAGTCCAAAGCAGGTTCTCTTCCTGCGGTGTTGGGAGAGGGGTGGGAAGTGGAGTAGAGCTGGGCAGGAGGCTGTAAAGTGGATTCTGTAGCTGATGTGTGAGCAGGGAGTGGCGAGAGCAGATGGAGCCGTCCTGTGTGATCCAGGGCCGATCCGCTGTGCTGCACAGCCAGGGCTGCAGCGAGGTGGGCCAGGGGAGCTCCCTGCTGAGAGCTGGGCAGCTGCTGAGTGCTGGCAGCCTGGCACTGCAGGCCGGGCTGGGTGTCAGGCATTGCGTGGACCTCAGAGAGACGGGGCTGCGATGGGTTGGGATGGGCCACGAAGGGATGTGAGGGGGCTGCAGGGCAGGAGCTGCGCTGAGGAGGGCAGCAGTGAATGCAAGCGCTGCCGCAGGTCGGGATGGGCCGTCCTTCCCCTCAGCCAGGCTTCGCTTTGGGCTGTTTGGGAGCAAGGTTTTGGGGAGGACCTGGGTGCAGAAGGGTCCCGAATGGTCCGTGCACATGTGCAGAACTCCCCCCTGCTCCATCCCTGATGGCAGGGACCTGATACGCACCAGAGCAAAAGCAATAGATGGAAAATGCTCCTATTTTTTTTTTCTTTCCTTTTCTTTTTCTAACTAGTTTACATGTTGGGAGCTTTCAGAAAAGCAAAAGCCTCCCTTGTTGTTGTGTCAGGCACCCCGGGATGAAAGCAGTGTTGTGCACAGCAGTGGATTCCCCTGGCTGCTCGCTCTGCATTCCATCTGCTGGCTGGCAGTGGGGGGGGTCCCAGCCTCTTTTCCCCCCACTGGAGCCGTGCAGCTCCTGCTGCTCCCTGATGCTCACAGGGCACAACACCACCCTGCCCTGGCAGCATTGCAGTTGTGGGGCTTCCACCTGCAGCCTCCGTGGGTGTTTTCCTCCCAGCCTTCTCCCATCCCTGCAGGGAGCAGCGCTGGCGACCCAGACCCAGGGAGACACATTTCAGAGCTTCACCAGGGAGGGAAGCTTTCTCTCCTGCTTTGCCTTTCTGTGGTTTATCCCGTTTGTTTTCACTCCTGGTGGCAGCAGCGCCCTCCTGCAGCAGCTTTCCCCCATCGCGTTGGGGTTGTGCCCTGCTGGGGGCTGCACAGCATCTCTGCAGTGCAATCAGAGCCCGGAGGGAGGGCTGTGGGTCCTTCCCTGTTCGTCGGGAAGGAGATGGGCACAACTGGTGTGGCTGAGAGTTGGAGCCACGTGTTGTCATTGCTGCCCCATAGCGAGAGGCTCCCATTACTGAGCAGCCCCTGAGCCCACAGCCCTTCTTGGGGGGGGGGGGGATGCTGTAAAGCAGAGGTTTGTGGCCGCACGGAGGCGTTGGGTTGTGTATAAATGTTGTAACCTGTCACTTTTTGTAATTGTTTTTAATAAAAGGGTGTTGACTAGAAGCACGCTGCCCGTCTGCCTCTGCTTTACCTCCACATGGGGCCTGGTGGTGCATCCCGGAGCATCCCTCGAATTGCTGCCTCCCTGATTGCCTCCGTGGGGGGCGAGGAGGTGATGCTGTGGGCACATCCCAGCTCGTGCCCCTGCCCCCCTTGCAGTGCCTGGAGGAGCCCCATCCATCTCCCACGCAGGGCAGGAGCTTCAGGTGCTGAGCAGAGCTGATTCAGCACGGAGGAAAAGAGGTGAAGGTAAAAAGTTCAAATCAAAAACGAATCTGCTGTTAGGTGACCTCAATGGCAATGTGTTTTATCCAATGTGCTGCCCGTGGATGGGGCTGGGATGTCAGAACAGCCCAAGCTTGCAGCTCTGCCATCCCCCTCACCCCACACCTGCCCTCCCTCACCCCACACCGCTCCCCTGCCCCACAGTGCTGCAGTGGGGCTGGAAGGACGCAGCGCCCGTCGGTTTGGGTGCCAACCTCGGCGTGGGGATGCGTTGTTCAGGAGCTCCCGCGTTCGCTGAGTGCTTTATGGACTGCCAGCCCAGCACTTGCTTAATCGCCTCCGGGTTTCTGCGGTTAATTGCGGTGAGCAATTAATCTAACGACGGCGGGACCGGAGCGGTGGGGACTTGTGCTGGGACGGAGCTCTCAGCGCTGCGGTGCGGCTCTGGGGGGTTGCTGGTCCTGACAACAAAGCTTTGATGAGCAAAGAGATGATTTGTATCTTCTCTCCTATGGGGCCGAAACCTGAGAGCCCCCCCCGGCTCAGTGGGGTTGCGCCCATCCCCACTCCTTCCCGCGGCGCTGGTGCCAAACGGGGACAGCCTCAGCCCCGTGCCCGACGCCTGAGGCTTCCATCTCCCCTGGGAGCTGATGTAGGGCTGTGCCGTGCTTCCCTGGTGCCGGAGGGATGCGGTGCCCCATGGGGAGCAGCCAGGAGGGCCGGATCGGTGCCGGGGGTGTGGCGGGGGCTGTCCCACAAACCCGCGTGGGCAGAGCGCAGGCAGCGGGGCCACGGCCGGGATCGGCGCAGGTATTGCGGCCGCTTTTCCCCTCTTCCTTTTTGCCCTTCTTCCCACCCGCATCGGGGCACCAGTGGGTGCGGGGGGCTGCGCTGGGGGCTGCGTCTGTCTGTGTTGCCTTGGAGGGCATTTGGACACCGCTTCGGTCCTTGCCTGGCCGAGATTGGGTTCATGGGGATGGGAACGGGGATGGGATGGGGATGGGGACAGGGATGGCGTTGGCAACAGGGACTGGGGATGCTGTGTTTTCCTGTGGGGTCGGATCAAAGCAGCATCATCCAGGTGCAGTTACAGGGTGAACAAACAGCAGCAGGAGGGAAATTCACGGCCTCACGTGTTCCCTGGGCAGGAGCTGCCGGGATGCGCGGGCGTTTCCGCTCCGATCCACACCCGGTGCTCATCACCGGGCAGCTCCGCCTCGCTCTGACCCTAATTAACCAGGATCACGCCTCAAGTGGCTGCATTTTAACCCCTGACTGGAAGCCCTGCGAGTGGGGCGCTCTCCTGCTCTGCCATCGGGGTGCTGCGGGGTCGGGATCTCTGTGCTCTGTGCAGGCGCTGTTTCCCAGCTCGCTGTGCTCCTCGGAGAGCGTCGTGTCTGCAGGTGCTTAATGAGCAGTGAGCTCGTTTGGCATCACCTGGGAGCAGAGCACAGGGGGCGACAGCAGTCAGGGTTTGGGATTTGGAAGCGCTGTGGACGTGGGGGGGTTGTGGATGTCACAGCCACGTCCTGGAGCAGAGCAAAGCAGCAGCATCCCACCTCTCTGCAGCATCCTCCTCTTCCTCAGGACACGGATGTGCCGAGCTGGTGGGGTCACTTAGGATGCAGGGACAAAAGCAGAGCCTTTGGTGGTGGTGGAGAAAGCTGGTATTGTGGATAAAAGCTTTGGGTTTTGGTCTGAGTTCTTGGACAAAGCTGGGTTGCTGCCCTTTTGGGGTCACCTTGGTGTGGGGTGAGGTGGGCTCTGCAGTGAGTGTGGGGCTGTGGGGCTCCCAGCATCAGCCTGTGTCATTGGGAGTGATGGGAGGAGACCCTTCTGTGGAAGAATGGGAAAAAAGGGATCAGAGGAATGAGGCGAGAAACAGCAGGGATGGACTCCTGGGGGGGAGAGGTTATTAAATGATGGGGTAATGGATGCTTTACGCCTTGCTGGCTTCTGACGTGTCAGGATCACGAAGAGCTGCACAAACATTAATTAATCTGCCCTAATGACCCCGTGGGGAGGTCAGTGAATGGAGGGCAATCTCGTCATCAGTGAGGGCGGTGCTCCTTCGGCACGATGGGTGCGATGGCGATGTGAGGAGAGGCTCTCCTTCAATGATTTCCCATGTCTTCGTTAGAGAGGAATCTTTGAGTGGTCAGAGTGCAGACTGAGGCTGAAAGGGAGCCGCAGTCCAACCCTGAGGGCACGGGGGGCCCAGCCCCACACCAACACCTTGGAGTAAACCCATAAAGGCAGCATGTGTGATGGACCTTCCAAAGGAAATGCCGTTGTGTCACCACTTCTGTGACGTTCAAACGTTAAGAATGCCACTGCACTTTCTCTGTCCTGCCCCATAGGGGTGAAGCTCAGCTGCAGGGCATCCCAGTGGGTCCCGCTGTGGTTCAGCATTGCAGGTATTCTGTGTCCTTGTCCCCAGGTCCTGGTAGAGGTGGCAGCATGGACGGGCAGGACCCAGCCCTGGGCTGTGAGCGTGAGCAGAAGGGGCAGCCAGGTTGGTGCGCAATGAGCGCGGGCTGGGATTTTCCTTTCTTTGGGCAGTAGAACAGAGGACTGGCGTAAAGGTGGTCCATCAGATGGGTGCAGGAGTTGGGGTCGTGGCTGGGATGTCGCAGCTTGGTGGTGCCCACACTGGGGTAGCAGGAAGAGCATCAGAAGGGGAACAAGCATCCTTAATAATAGCGCCATGGAAGCGTGTCTCCCCAGCTCACCATGAGCACCACAACGGGTCCCAGTGTCCCCAGAGGGCAGGGGGTGGTGGCTGAGCACAGCCACTGGGTGACCACGAGCTCCTCCAGCTTTCACCTGGGAAGTGCAGGCCAACAACAGAGCCCACCACGAGCAGCTCAGGAAGAAATCTGCCTTCTGCGTGAGCAAGAAGAAATACGCGGTGAGTCAGGCGGCGCCAACCAAGGGCCGTTTCTGGTGCTGGGCCCCCGCTCTGGCTTTAAGCTGCCATTATTTTGGCAGGGCAATGCCATTAAGACGGCCAAGTACAACGTCCTCACCTTCCTCCCGCTGAACCTCTACGAGCAGTTCCACCGCATGGCCAACGTCTACTTTGTCTTCGTCATCCTCCTGCAGGTGAGATGGATGCGAGGGAGAAGCACGAGCGTGAGGGACTGTTACCAAAGCAGGGCTGTCTGGTGCTCAGAGCAGGACGGCCATCTGTAGGGACACTTGTGTTCCCACCTCTGACCTTTGAAAGGATGGGATCTGGAGCTGACGTGGGTTCCCCTTTTGCGCCTATGCTGTAAGATGGCGTCAGGGGCACCGATCTGCAGTAGCATTCGTCGGATTTCAGGACCTCTGAGTGGCTGAAGCTGAGAAAAAATATGATTCCTTTAAATCAGTTGGGTTTGGATATAAACTAAGATCATACAGAAAACTGCCAGACAAAAATCCTACCGTCCCCAAATCTTAGCTTGGTTCCTGCCTTTTTTGGGCCCTTCTAAGGAGGAGAGCTGGGACCCGAGGTGTCCCATGGTGGGATGGGAGTTTGGTCATTGAGGTGCCCTTTTCTTTCCCCAGACCTTTCCTGAGATCTCCACGCTGCCCTGGTACACTCTGCTCTTCCCCCTGAGCTGCCTTCTCACCATCCGTGCCCTACGGGACCTGATGGATGACATTGTGAGCGTGGGCACTGAGGGGTGGTCAGCAGAACGGGCTCCTTTGCTGTGGAAAGTTTGGGAGATGCCATCATTCAATGTACCTGAGACACCATCAGCTCTACAACATCCAAATCGCTTCGTATTTTCCCTTTGAAAGGATGTGGCCAGATGGTCTCCTTCCTTTAGGAGTGATATCTGTAATATCCCAATCCACGGCTGTAGTCACAGTTTGGCCCCAAGGGCCATCTTGGGGGGAGTTCTGCCCCTTCATTCGTCAGAATGCATCTCCAGGGTGCTTCAATGAGCAGATCCTGTCCTGGGGCTGAGGAACCCAAAGAGGTTATGGCGTTCAGAGGGTTGCTTTCATGGGACAACAACACCTGGCATGGCCCATCCATTTCTTTTTCTCTCTTCTGCACAGGGCCGGCACCAAAGTGACAGAAACATCAACAGCAGGCCCTGTGAGATCCTGTCTGGGGAGAGGTAAGGGGCTCTGGGGAGAAGGGCTCATGCTTTCCTTGCTGTGAAGCAGTGATGGAGCATCTGGAGTGCTGAGCACCCCTGAGTTCAGTGTTTTGGTGGCACCAGGCCTTGCAAGCTTGCATCGCCCCCCAGATCTGGTGCAGCTCTGGGAGTTTCTTTGGAAGGAGGTTTGTATCCCAACAGGTCCAAGAAGCGCTGGTCTGCCTGTAGGTATGGGGGTATGGAGGTGACAAAGCAGTCCTGTGCCACTCGTGGTGCCCTGATGGCCACAGAGGAACCAGCAACGCCCTGCAGACCCCAAGAAGCCAGGAGAGCCATAGGCTGCTCCAGAGGATGGATGCAGTGTTAACCCTGCTGTGCAATATTCTAACCCTGCTGCGACCGCGGGGCTGCAATATTCACACGTTCTGAATTCCCCTTCAGCTTCCGCTGGCAGAAGTGGCGCGATGTCTGCGTTGGGGACGTCGTCCGCCTGCACAAGGACAGCCTCGTCCCAGTGAGCAGCGCCCCGTGGCTGGTGGCTGATGTGCCAAGGGGGGGCTCAGCGAGGGGAGACCCAACCAGGTGCTTTCCCTTTGCTCCTGCAGGCCGACATGCTCCTGCTGTGCAGCTCAGAGCCCAGCAGCCTCTGCTACGTGGAGACCTGTGACATCGATGGGTGAGCAGTGCTGGATGTCCCGGCTGCGGGCTGAGCTCTCCAGCCCTGGGCACCACCAGAAAGGGGGGTCAGGTGTGCTAGGGAGGCTGGCAGTCCTGCAGAAACCACGAGATCTGGGGGGTCCTCCAACAGCCAACCTTACAGACACTGCAGAAATGGAAGGAGCCTTTCATTTGGCCCCACGGATTTTGAAAATTGGAAGGCCGAGAAAATTTTCAGGCTACGGTTTTGGGGAAAACCCTGCACCCTGCAGAGCAGCTCGTGACCTCAGGTCTATCTCCTCATCTCCATTCCCTTCCAGCTCCTCATCCCTCCCGCTCATCTGCTGGATGATTTAATGACAGGGTCTCTGGGGCTGGGGCTTTTTTCCTGCTTGATGTCTGCCACGATAGCTCCCTATCTTGCTTTTCATCACCATTGCTCATGTAATCACCCAACAATTAATGTCAACTTCTGTCCCATGGGCCCGATAGCAGAATTAACAGTGCTTTTGCCCTGTAGGGTTGTTTCATTCTTCCCTCGCTGACTCTTTTTCGCAGAGAAACAAACCTGAAGTTCAGACAAGCCCTCCTGGTCACCCACCAGGAGCTGACAAGTGAGGAGAGCTTGGCTGCCTTTGATGGTGAGAAACCCAGATGGGTGAGGATGTGGCCTCCATGCCATGGTCACATCAGGGCAGCCTCCAGAGGTCTCCCATCGGCCTCACTCTGTCCCCAGAGACACCAAATGCCATCACTCAGCACCTCCAGAGCTGGAGGGTGGTCCCTACTAAAGGGTCTGCATGGAGACCCTTCCCCAGCAGCGTGGTTGGGGTTGGGTTAGGAGGGGGGTTAGGATAGGGACTACTGGATTAGGATGGGGGCCACTGGGTTGGGATGAGGGCTGTTGGGTAGGATGGGGGCCATCGGGTTTGCGCATGGCTCAATGTCTGTTTTCCTACCAGAATCAAACTCTGAGCATCCAGGCTTGAGCTCAGAACCTGGATTTTTCCCCCCCTTTGGTCCTGCATAGGATGCTGTGTCAACAGCAGCTGGAATTAAGGATTTGGTGCTTTATCCCATGTGGTTTCTCAACTGGGCACAGCAGGCTGGTGCTCCAGCTCAGCCTTAACCCGAGTCTCCCATCCCGCAGCTGGAAGACGCACAGGAGAAATCTGAATTTTCCCTTGAGAAATCCTCTTCTCTGGAGGAAACGAAGGACCTCGCGTTTCCCCCACAGCCAACGCCTGCTCTGTGTGCTCTGCTCCAGGGAGAGTGACCTGCGAGGAGCCCAACAGCCGCATGCACAGCTTCACTGGTGTGCTGCAGTGGAGAGGCGAGACGCACGCGCTCGATGGCGACAGGATTCTGCTGAGGGGCTGCAAACTCCGCAACACCGACACGTGTTACGGCTTGGTTCTCTATGCAGGTGAGCACCAGCTCCAGGATTCTGTATTTCTCTGCGTCGCGTCCTGGATCCGCGTCCCTTCGCGTCCTCTTGGTGCGTTGGCCGTGGGTAGAGGAGGGCTGAGGGTGGTGGAAGGAGCATTTTTTGCATTTTCACTTACAAAACGGTTTCTCGCCCAGGATCTGATTCTAAAATTATGAGGAACTGTGGGAAGATCAAGAGGAAGAAAACCAAGCTGGACCGCATGATGGACCGCCTGGTGGTCATGGTAAGAGCTGTGCAAACGCCTCCTGGGGGTGCTTAGAAGCTTCCTCGTGAGGCACTGCTTCCTTGGGCAATGCTGATTTTGTTAAGCTTGAAGTATTTTGCTCAGTTCTTGGTGCAGTTCCTGGTGGCTGTGTTGTCATCTCTTCTCCAACTGGCTGCTGGCATTCCTCTTGGGTAGGGTTTGGGTTGGGGTCAGGAAGGTGGGGAAGTTGGGTTTCGCTCTGTTTGTTGTGGATGTGTTCAGCTGAATTCTATGCCACGATCTTTCGTCTCAGCCCAGGATAGCCTTCAACTTCTGTGTGGTCTCAAAGCAGCTTCGCGACCAGGGGATGCAGTGAGAAGGGCTGGAAGGGACAATGGTTGGTCTGGTAGGCTCTGAGGGATGCGCCATTCTCAACCTGCCTCCTCCCATCAGATCTTTCTGGCGCTGCTGGTCACATCGCTGTGCCTCGCCATTGCCTCAGGGTTCTGGGCCAAGATGTTCCAAGAGAAACACAGCTACCTCGCTGCTCTCTATAAGCACACGACTCCTGCCAAGCAGGCTTTCTTCAGCTTCTGGGGCTTCACCATTCTCCTGAGCGTCATCATACCCATGTCCATGTATATCACGTAAGAACGATGCAGATTGCACACATGGCTGGCACTCAGTGCCCCCCTCCCTCCCCTTGCCCATCATCTGGCACCTTGGCTTGCAGCCACAGAGTGGGGCTGCCACAAAAGGGGCTCAGCACCCGAGCAAGGGTGATGCAAAGACGCACGCACCAACGTTGGAAATGGTGGACAGGCTGAGGACGACCAACCGACGAAGGCGATAACTCCTTTCTCGCATTCCCACTCTAGGTTTGAATTCATCTACCTGGTGAACAGCTTTTTCATCAACTGGGATTTGGAGATGTATTATGCTGTCAAGGACATCCCAGCCAAAGCCAGGAGCACCAGCCTCAACGATCAGCTTGGCCAGGTGGAGTACATCTTCTCGGACAAGACGGGCACCTTGACGCAGAACATCATGAGCTTCAAGAAGTGCTGCGTCAACGGGAGCATCTACGGTAACTTGTGGTGGTGGCAGGTTGGTAGGGATTGCAGAGTTGGGTTGAGGCCAGGCTTTGGCTGGAGGTCATTTTGGTTCTTTTGTCTTCTCTGGCTTGCTGGGAAGCTTGGGGTACGTGGGTTGGTCTTGGTGGTGGTGGAGGAGGTGAAGGAGGAGGAGGTGAAGGAGGAGGAGGTGAAGGAGGAGGAGGTGAAGGAGGAGGAGGTGAAGAAGTCGTCCTTCCCTTTATGATTTATTCTTATGGAGAGTGCATGTGATGCTCTTTGCTTTCTTTAATGATTCAGATTACTTTTTTCCCCTAAGAAACCCCAGAACTGCCAATTCCTTCCTTCTCTCATTGCTACATTTACTCGAGCTCTTGGCTGGCTTTTGGTGCTTAATTAGTGACATTTAGAGAGCAGCAAGGGGCAGAGCTGTAGCACAGAGCTCCTTTTTCCTGAGATCCTTATCAAACACCTGAGACAAACAGTGACAAAAGGAAAGAGGAGAAAAAAAAAACCATTTGGCAAAGTTTCTAAGCAGGAATAAACCCAATCCTCCTCTTCCTGTGTATCACATTGCACCTCTGATAGCAGCACTGCCACGATCCTTTCTACCTTCTGACAACTGGAAATGCAGGTGAAAGCCAGACCTGCACTGTCAACATGAAAAACATAGAAAGTCTGAGCTCTTCAAGAATGAAATCAGCCAAACCTGAATGCCCCAATGGCTCACAATGGACAGACACTGGGCCAGCACTGGAAATTCCCTCCTTGCCAGTCTTCTGGCCAGCAAAAGAATCCCAGCAATCCCTCCTAGCAAAAAGCTGCTTGGAGCTCTTGCCAAGCGATGCTCCCAGCTCTTCAGTAACTGAGCTGTCTCTTATTTTGGCAGGTTTGGACACGGGCCATGAGAACAAACAGCCACCGGTGCGTAATTTCCCCTCTCCTGCACAGCATGGGTCCAAATATGACCACGGCAGAGCATCATAGGGTGGCCCCGTTGTTGGTGTCTCGGGTTCCTACAACCTGCCCGTGCCTCTTGCAGGGGTTGGTGTTGACCCAGAGCTGCCATGGGGAGAAGATGTTGGACTCCAACAACGTGGGGCTCCGGGAAGCAGTGCAACAAAACAAGGATCCGGTGCTGCAGGAGTTCCTGCGGCTGCTGGCCCTCTGCCACACCGTCATGGTGGAGGAGAGGGGAGGTGGGTTGGGGTCCCCTATGAGGGGGTTCCCTTCGAGGCACAGGGGCCGTGATATCGTTGATATGAACTGCCTAGGCTGGGGTTTTCTGTTGGATAGGGATAGGGACTGGGAATGGCATTGGGATCCCATTGGGAACGGGGGTGGGATCCCACTGGGGTCGGTGTGGGGATCCTATGGGGAGTGTTGTTGGGATCCTGTTGGGAGTGGTGCTGGGGTCCCATGGGGAGTGGTGGTCCTTGCTTAAGGAGGACGAAGGACACACTGTACTCACACAGCTGCTATTCTCTCTTCTCATTAACTCAACAGAAGTTAAAAAAATACGTATTTTAAAATTTCCAGATTTGGTGGCTTTAAATCATCTTCAGCAAAAGTGTGTATGACTGTAAACCAAGCACGGCTCCTGAAATGGGATGGATTGGGTGGGTCGGCTGTGCTGAATGCATGTTTTTTAACCTTTATCCTTTGGAACATGTTTAGAAAAATGATTCTAAGGAGCTGAAGGAGTTGGACTGGATGATCCTCACGGGTCCCTTCCAACTCGAGGTGTTCTGTGTTTCTACAGCTCTGTTCTATGACTTTCCCTAGCTTGGTAGCTCAGGCTTCAAGGTCTCCATCAGTAACGTCGGTGCAAGGCTGAGGCGTTCCAGGTGTTTGAGGGATGCTCCTCTCGGTGTCTCCTCACCCAATCCTTGCTTCTCTTCCGCAGACCAACTGGTTTACCAGGCGGCTTCTCCAGATGAGGAAGCACTGGTGCTGGCAGCCAGGAGCTTGGGTTACGTCTTCCTGTCCCGAACGCAGGACACCATCACCATCAGTGAGATGGGGGTGAAGAGGACATTCCAAGTGCTGGCCATGCTGGATTTCAACAGCGATCGCAAGAGGATGTCAGTGTTGGGTGAGCTGAGGTGGCTGCAGGGTGGTGCCTTGCAAGGGGACGGCGAAGAGCAGCTCTGTCCTTTCTGCCTCCCAGTGAGGGACCCACAGGGCACCATCCGGCTCTACACCAAAGGGGCTGACACTGTGATCCTGGAGAGGCTGCGGGGTCGGGGACCCAACCAGGACTTCACCGAGAGGGCTCTGGATGTGAGTCCCACAGCAGCTGGGTCATGAGGGATTGGTTGGGTGCCCCGCTGCTTCTCTGTCCACACTCTGGCTTTAGGATTTAGCTCTGTCTTTCCCCCTTCTGCTCTGAGCCTCAAACGCACCTGGAACAGGGGCTGAGGGCACCAAATCCCCTTCTTGGTGTTCTGCATCGCTTTCAGACGTAGGGTCTGATATTTGGGTCCTGCAAGGAGCCAGGAGTTGGACCTGATGATCCTGATGGGTCCCTTCCAGCGGGGGATATTCTATGATCACTCCTGGGGTGGGGGGCAGCTGGAGCCCAGAGGAGACCTCAGACCCCATGTGAGCACAGAGTCGAGGTGAGGAGGACACGATGTCTCATCTTGGCAGCACTTTGCAGAGGAGACCCTGAGGACGTTATGCCTGGCCAGCAAGGAGCTGAGCGAGGCAGAGTACGATGAGTGGAGCAGGAGGCACTGCATGGCCAGCATCCTGCTGCAGGGCCGGGCGTGTGAGCTGGACAGGCTGTACGAGGAGATGGAGCAGGACCTGGAGGTGGGATGGGGCCAGGGGTGGGGAGGAACGCCTTGCCCTGTTCCCTGCTGGCCCCACAGAGGGTAGGAGCACGGGGGGGTTCAGCTCTTTTGGGGTGGAGGGGGAAGAGTCCAACCCGACACCAATCCTCTGGGTGGCAGGGCAGGTGGAGATAGCCCCTGGGTGGTTTTGCAACATGTCCACCCATGGGAAGGGGATGGAGCTTGCAGGGTTAACCTTCAGCTTGCCCTGACCCCCTGCCCCATGTCATGGCACCTTCCCTCCAGCTGCTTGGGGTCACAGCCATTGAGGACAAGTTGCAAGAAGGGGTCCCTGAGACCATCCAGCTGCTGAAACTGGGCAACATCAAAGTGTGGGTGCTGACGGGAGACAAACAAGGTCAGTGGAGCCAACCCCAGACCCCACCAACACATTTCAGTTTCTTCCCCAACCAGGACCGGAGATCAGATGAGACCCTGGGAGGAAGCAGCAGTGGGGCTCTGCTGTTCCATTCATACAGAACAATAGCACGACCCACAGATCACGTTACCTGTGGGGAAACTGAGGCAGGGGAAGCTGTCTGCATGATGGCATAGGGTGCAGAACAGTCCCAGCACCTGTTGGCCTCCAGGGCTGGGGGATGTCCTGGGATGGTAGGGGGGCACGAGAGCCCACTGATGTCCCTGTATTGCAGAAACAGCAATGAATGTTGGCTATGCATGCAAGCTGCTCACGGATGACATGGAGATCCTGGAGGAGAAGGAAGTGAGGTGAGGAATCCTGACCTTCTGGTTCGTGACATCAGGGGGTTCCTGGAATCACAGAGGTGTGGCACTCAGGGATGTGGTTATTGGGCAGTATTGGTGGTAGGTGGACAGTTGCACTGGATGACCTTAGAGATCTTTTCCAGCCTTAATGATTCTGAGATTCTATGACACCCAAGGGCATAGGAATCCATGCAGGGCAAGCATGGAGGGCTGGAGATGCTTCTCCTTCCCCATCCCAGCCTGGATGTCCATTCCCATCTTCACCCACTGACACCTTTCCAGTCTTCCCCATTCATTTCTGCACCTACATTTGGCTGCAAAGCGCTCAGCTTGCAGCAGGCCAGCTTCTCTGGCCTCCGAACCACATGCACCAGGGCTGATTTCTCATCTCATGAGCCCTCTCAGCCCCTCTTTGCCCCTCCTGCTCCCACCATTGGGTACCAGCTCTGTCTTGGATCCAGCTTTGAGATGGCAAATGCCAACCAACGAGTCATGGCCAAAGCTGACCAACACTCCCCATGTGCCCTCCTTGCACAGTGAGATGCTCGAGGCTTACTGGGCGAGAAACAACAACGTCAGTGGCAGTGACTGTGCCTCACAGCAGCACCCAGAGCCTCTGTGCCACAAGAAGAGAGCTCTTGTCATCAGCGGGGACTTTGTGGTAAGGAGATAAGTGGGGCTGGTTCTGCCCCAAGGCATTGGATGGCACCAGGAGGTACCCCAAAATGGGTGGCAAAAGCCACAGGAACCCTGTTTTGGGATGGGGAATGAATGTTAGAGGAGGAGGTGACCTCACGCTGATCACTTAGTGATGGGGGCTTCACCCACACTGGCCCAAGCTGGGGGCTCATGTGCCCTTCTTCAAGAAAGGTGCAGATGTGGTACTGAGAGGTGTGGGTCAGTGGGCAATATTGGTGGTAGGTGGATGGCTGGACTGGCTGATCTTAGAGGTCTTTTCCAACCTTCATCGCTCTATGATTCTGGTCATACTGGGACAAATTGCTCTCAAACTGTACCTACTGCATGACAAACCCAGAGAGAACTTTTTTTGTTGTTGTTGCACCAGAGAGATTTGAGAGCATCACAGATTCCACTGTGACATCCCTGCCAGTCTCTAGAAAACCCAAATTTGAAATGTTGTTATCCTCCCTTCATGCTCCTATTTGTTTCCCTATGCTAAAAGAGCTCAGACCAGCCCCATCCTCCCTGCTTGTAGCCCCCATCCCTCTTGACCAGCCCTGGTGTGAGGTTCTAACCATGTGTGCTCTCCCCTAAGGACACAATCCTGCAGACAGGAGAGGTGCTACAGAAGAAGGGACAGCTGTGGCAGCACCTGGCTTGCCATGGGACGACGGACCCCCAGGAGCAGGGCAGTGTGGTGGAGAAGGCCTTTGTGGACCTGGCCACCAGCTGCCAGGCTGTCATCTGCTGCAGGGTCACCCCCAAGCAGAAAGCTCTCATCGTGCAGCTGGTGAAGAAGCACAAGAAAGCCACCACGCTGGCCATTGGGGATGGGGCCAACGATGTCAACATGATCAAAAGTGAGGCTGGGGGATGTGCTGGTGGGTTTTGGCTAGAGCATCCAACTAGAGTGGGAGTGGTGGTACCCCACCTACCATCTCCACTGTGTCACTTCTCCTTTGAGGTGAAGAGCTGGGAGAGGAACACTCAACTCAACTTCCAACCCAATTCCCAGCACAACCCCTGGCTCATTTTCCAACCTAATTCCCAATCCAGTTTGCAATGCGGTTGTGCTGGGAAGGGAGTGAAAAGCACAAGACCATGGATGGGGCAGGGTTGCTTGCTTGGGCAACGGGGATGTCTTGAAGACTACCCTGCTTCTCCAGCAGCCCCCAGCACAGGGCTGTGCCCTTTGCACACCCAGCTGTGCCTGCTGTCACACTCTATGGCACACAATGGACGTGCAGGAGGGCTTTTCCCCTTTACCCGTCAGCCCTGGCCGCAATCTGCTGGGCAACCAAACGCTACAGATAAAGGGCTCTGCTAACCCCTCACTGCCCACATCTCACACCCTCTGCAGCTGCTGACATCGGGGTGGGCATCAGCGGGCTGGAGGGCGTGCAAGCTGTGCAGTGCAGCGACTTCGCCCTGGCGCAGTTCTGCTACCTGCAGCGCCTGCTGCTCGTCCACGGCCGCTGGGCTTACCTCCGCATCTGCAAGTTCCTCCGCTACTTCTTCTACAAGACCTTTGCTGGCCTCATGACCCAGATCTGGTTTGCTTTTCACAGTGGATTCACGGCCCAGGTGAGCAGTGGCTGCGGAACGCGGCCCTCCTGTGGGTTTTTGTATCTCCAGCGCGGTCTCCTTCCTCCCTCCCTGATTTTTGGGGGCTCCCTGGTTGAGATGCAGCTGGTTACTTGCACTTGGGCCATGGGACTGGGAGAAGTGCCCTCAGAGGCACCGGCAGCTCTTGTGAGAAGCAGCTCAGCCTCACAAATGCGCGGGGAAATGGACCACAAGGTTCTCCCAAAAATGGGAGCTCCTACCTAAGGGACAAAGGTTATCAGTGCAGCGTGTGGCTCCAGCCCCACCTCTGCAGCACGCTCCCAAAGACCCACAGAGTGCTGCGCACAACCCAGTGCTGATGCAGATCTCAGAACAAGTCCAGAGGGATTTCCATGGGATTTGAGGCAGGACTTGGCCTCACCCCAGCGCCTGGGCATCCTTTCCGAGTCTTCCCAAAGCACCACCGAGCTCACAGCCACTTCGTTCTCCCCATAGCCTCTCTATGAAGGCTGGTTCCTTGCTCTCTACAACGTTTTCTACACCGCTTACCCCGTGCTTTCTGTGGGTCTTCTGGAGCAGGTATGGGACCACCAGGCTGCACCCAGCCCCTATGCCTGGAGGGCAAACCTGACGAGGGTGGGAAGACGATGCTTGAGCTCCTCTGTGTTCCAGCAGGACGTGAGTGCCAAGAAGAGCCTGCGGTTCCCTGAGCTCTACACCATTGGGCAGCAGGACAAGCTCTTCAATTATCGTATTTTCAGCGTGACGCTCCTGCATGGTGTCAGCACATCGCTCACCAGCTTCTACATCGCGCTCTGGGCCTTTGAGGACCACGTTGGCAGCAGGACTGTGGGGGACTACGAGTCCTTCTCCGTCACGGTGGCCACCTCAGCTTTGTTGTCAGTCCTCGTGGAGGTGAGCACCCCTCCCTGTGTTGGGGATGAACTGGAGGCTGTTGGCACGGATGAGGGGCTGGAGGGAACCAGTCCAAATGGAACACGGGTGAAGGGAGCCCAGGCATGCTGTGATGTTGCCCAGTGCAGCTGAGGATGGTCTCCCTTGAGGCAGAGACAAGTGGCCAAATGGAAGTACATCCTCCAGCCTTCACAAGGAGTTGTATGTCCGTGCAGATCATCCTGGACACCAAGTTCTGGACTGCGTTGTCTTTCCTGATGGTCACAGCCAGCTTGCTGCTCTTCTGCCTCTTCTCCTTCCTGACCCAGAGCATCGATGCCTTCAGGATCGCCCCCGCTGTCTTCTGTTTTCCAGGTCAGGTGCCCCAAATCCCTGCAGTCCATTCCTCCCAGAGCCAGGCCAGCCCACTGTGGGCTCCATACCAGGAGCTGTTTTCCCAGTGGATCATGTCTTCGCTTGGTTGTATCACATCCCTTGGTCTGATCCTCTTGCTATATGGTCCTGGGTGACAGGTTGACCATTTCATGATCTTGCAGTCTTGCTTTTTGATCCTGGTTGAGATCCCTTAGCAGCTTTGTGAGTGTGGGGCTGTCCCCTCACCATTGCTCTCTCTCCTCTCCACCTCTGCTGCTTGAACATTGCCCACAGATGCCACCCAGAACGCTCTGACCGACCCTTACATCCTGCTGGTGGTCCTGCTGTCCCTGGTGGTGAACACCATCCCCTCGCTCACCATCCGCTCGTACAACGCCATCACAGGCAACACCAGCATCCAGCAGGTGAGGATCTGCCTCAAGGACCAGCGTCTGGAACCAGTAGGGGTGTTGCTGGTGGTGGGATGGATGCGATTCCCCAGGGGAGGGTCACCAGGCCCCTGTTTCCTTGCAGAAGATCTGCTGGAAGGCCAGAAGGGAGCCGGAGCCCTCGGTGGAGCTGCGCACCCACGTCCCCCGTGGCTCCTTCCACCGCCGTTCCACCTATGCCTTCTCCCATCAGGAGGGCTACGCTGGCCTCATCACCCGAGGGGAGAGCCTGCGCACCAAGGGCACCCACAGCACCACCAAGGGCACCCAAGGCACCCACAGCACCACCAAGGGCACTCACAGCACCCACAGCACCACCAAGGGCACCCAAGGCACCCACAGCACCACCAAGGGCACCCACACCATCACTGACACCCATACCACCAATGACACCTGTGCCACCACAGCGCTCCATTGCCAAGGGACAAACCCCAGCTTGGTTCTCCCCCCATAGCTGACCTGGCCACGTCCCGCTGAGGCCAAAGGGGTTTCCTCCTCTTGAGGTCATCTGAATCCAATTTGGGTGTTTTTGCTCCACGATCTCCGCACTGTGGTCCCCAAACCCGTGGCAGTGCTGTGTGCCATGCCCCCATCCCCACCTCCCACCATTCTCTATGGACATGCACAGCCCATGGGATGCTGTGGAGCCACAGCTTGGGGAGGACAGAGCATGCAAACGACCACCTGGTGGCCGGGTCACCATTTTTTATCCTCGTTTTTGTAATTAAAAGCCCCCTGGGACACACACACAGACACGGGGGTGAATGACTAGAAAATAATTTATTGAAGAAACAGAAAGCTGCAGAAATACAACACAGTCATGACCAGTAGAGGATGAACAAATAGAGATTTTCTTTTTTTTTTCTTTTTTTCTCTCTTTTAAAACCTGTTGGAGTTGAGTTTCCTGGTAATTTCCCCTGCGTGAGTCATTGCAAAGAACAAGGAACGAACTCCAGAGCACACAGCACAGTTTGGATAAAGTGCCTGACACATAAGACTCTTTTTTTTTTTTTTTTTTAATAATTTTTTTTTTTTTTTTTTTTTTTTTTTTTTTTTTAGCATTTGTAAATAGCTTAAACAAATATAATTGCAAGACACAGAGGAGTAACAATTGCATTTCGCTGTAGAGTAAAACCTATCCCGTGAGATTAACAACGAAGCGGCAGCAAAAGGAAAAATAATAAAGATAATAATTAGAAAACAAAACAATTCAGTCAGAGGGAAAAAAAGCATTGGGCAACGGAGGGACGTGGCCCCCAAAGGAGGTGGGATGGGTGCCTATTGCTATGCAGAGAAATGAGCAGTGGGGTGGTGGGTGAACCCAGTGCTGTGGGCTCCTCCTGGGCAGGGTGAATGCTGCCTGACTTCTTGTTCTCCTTTAGAAATGTAAGGGGGAGAAGGATGGGAAAGGCGAAACAAAAAAGAAAACAAAACAAAGCCACAAATGGATTTGTTTGTCTTTGCGTTGCTAATTCCCTTTCTTTAAAAAACCCTGAATGAAGAAATAAGACAAAAGGATCCGAAGCGTCCATACGCACAGCCCCAGCCCCGGCTGCAGCTCCTCTTCTGCTCTGAGATGAGGGAAAAGCAAGAAACGTCCCCCCTGCCCCCTTGAAGCGACCCATGGATGAACCTTGGGTTCTGATTCTGCTCACAAGAGAGGTGTTGTATGAAGGATCTTGTCCTGACGTTCCTGGGCTTGGCACCAGGCAGCGCAAGCTCCAGGCCCAGTGCTGGTATCCCATCATTGGAGGCCTTAGAGCTGGGAAAGCTCAGCTCGTGGCTGGGCTATCATGGGATGTCAGTGCCTGCAGCTCGGCTTTGAGGTTCCATGAGCCTTCTGCTCCTCCTCTCCCAGTGGGGATGGAGATGTTGCTGCCCCACTGCAAATTCTATATATTTTTTTGCACCTAAATGGAGAACCAGCCTGAGGCTTCACAAGTAACGGGATGACCCAAATCCCTGAAAACTTCCACAACGGAAACAGGACACAATGACCAGGCTGAACTGCGGGATTTGGTGGGGCTCGAGGTTCCAGGCACCCTCCTCTTCCTCGTCCTTCATCAGCACAAAGCCCTGGGATCTTTGCTCCCCACCAGGCAGGAGCTGCTCTTGTTGTTTTTCAAGGTGCCCCATTGCGCTCCAGTTCTGCTCCTGCTCCCCACAGCACAAAAATGCCTTTTTGGGGCAACCCTGGTCAAGAGAATTGTCTTTAGGACAGAGCTTGGATTGTCATTACCTGCAGGGGAAAAAAAAATATCTTTGGTATCGTTGCAAGTTGCTCCTCAAGGCATTTTGGTAGGTGTGGGCAGCAGGCGAGGCCAGATTCGGCATAGGGCAAAGCGCCTTTGGTTCAGTGGGTGCTGGTGGGTGAAGGATAAGGACAGCACTCAGTGCTCAGCTTCTTTGGGATGTCCCAAATCATTGGGTTCTTGTCCCGAGGTGGGAACCAGTCGGGCTCTGTAGATTCCTAGGACTGATGGCTGTGGGTTGGGTCTAAGCTTGGTGACACCTTCGTATGGTTGGAAGTGAGCTCTGAGCATCCAACACTGAGATGGAGATCCAAACAGCAACAGCTCCCCAGAGGGATGCCAGGAGCTTTTGGATGGACAGCCATGAAGAAGACGAAGGCTGCAGGATGCTGCATTGAAGAAGATGCAGGTTAAAACCCTGTTATGCTTTTGGGGACCACGTTGGTGGAGCACAATGGAGTTGAGATCTCATTCCTTGCAGTCGTTTGAGCTTTGGGGCCACATCTAGTGATAGAGGTGAAGGATGGAGAATGAAGAGGAAGAAGAAGAGTCAAGAATCAGCATTTTAAAGTAAAGGCAAGGATGGAGGCAGGTCTTCAAGGCCACCCCAAGGGAAAGCAACTCGGAGCCATCGTACAATCACAGAATGGTTTGGACTGGGGAGAGACCCTTGAAGATCACCAGTCCCACGGGCTGCCATGGGCAGAGATGTCGTTCACCAGATGAGGCTGCTCAAAGCCTCGTTGAGCCCAATCTCAAACACTTCCAGCAACGGGACATCAATGGGGGCATCCACAGCTTTGGGCAGCCCTGCTCAGTGTCACCATCCTCAGCGCGACGAGCTTCCATTGCCAACGGTCGCAGCGTGGGGTGGAGGGCGGCGATGGGGCATTGGGGCCATTTCCCTCATCTCAGAGCAAATGAGGAGCCCAGAGCTTTGCAGACTCAGGTGACGGCGGCTGATTGTCTCTGTTTCTCATCCGCATGAAGACACTTTGACACACAGATGTGGATAAAGCACAAAGAAATCCCCAAACCTGAGAGGTGCGGGGCCTGGCGGGGTTGGTTTGGCATGGGTGGGCACACAGGGGTCCCGTGCCCCAGACACCAGTACCTGGATTGCTGGGCATGGGGGTCGTGTGCCCCCACAACCCCCTGCAGCCCCTACACCGTCCCCCATCGGGGTAAAACAGCGTGCAGAGAAAGGAAAGGGGGAAAAGAAGCCAACAAACCGACAGAGGGGGGTAAAGGATGGCTCTCCTTGGAGGAAAGGATTGAGAAAAGGAAATCGACGCGGTGATCCATGCAGAAAATTCTTAATCAACCCAGAAGTCATGGACAAAAAAAGCACAGTTTGTCCCCCCCCGCTCCCACCCCACCATCCCTCCCCGAATAATTATTACATTACTTCCAGAAAGAGTATATTTTTTTTTTTCATGCATAAATCAAATTCTCATCTCGTCTTTTTTTTTTTTGTTTTTTTTTGTCCTTTTTTTTCTTTTCGTCTCCTTTAAATTACATTTGAACACAGAACACGTATAATAAATACTCTCGTACGACATGACTCAGAGAAAAGAAACGCATCGGAACGCAAAAGGTATCGTCGTCGTTATTCGTTTTTCTTTTTTTTTTTCTTTTCTTTTTTTAAAAGGACTGGTTTAAATATGAAATCTGTAAACTCCGAGGGTCCTTTTTAAACCTTTCTCTCTCTCTTTCTCGCTCTCTTTCTCTCTCATTATTTTTGTTTTTTCATCGTGAAACTACCCAGCTTTCGTTTCCTTAACATTCAATATGTCTCCCACTGAACGCGTCAAAGAAATAAGAACATGCCGTCTTCTGCAAAATTATAATTTAACAGTATAAAGCTTCAAGTCACAAATTCCAAAAACTAGCTAAGTCTTTTTTTTTTTTTTTTTTTTTTTTTTTTTTTTTTTT